AACACAAAAACTATTTTGGGATAAATGCGACACATTACTCGCGACACCGCTTTTGGATTCAAAATCGTCAAGCGATTCTCTGAATTTGTCCAAGGGGGAAGTAAAGTGACAAAATCAGGCCGGTTCTGACATTCGTACTAGCCTGAGTATGACCTACTTTACTTGAGAAGGCCGGAATATAGGATGAGAGTTAAAGTTTGATTTCTCAATCATTGCTCTAAATTGAAATCAAGTGATCTTCACTCTAACAACTATGATTTTCACACATTGTCCTGCAAGCATCACTAGCCTAACGTAATTCATGTGGAATATAGAAATCACCTATTTTAAGTTGCTATCACTAGTAAAGTCACAAAATGGCCAAAAGAGGGTGATAAATGCTCACTCCAAATTGAAGCAATTCCAAAGCATTGAGTCGATTGCTTTGATTCCAGCAGACAAGCATATTATTTTCTTGAACACTAATCTCCGTGTCAAACCCGTGAATGAAGTTGTCACCGCGATAAAACATTGCACGAGAGTGCGTATATCTCACACCATGTCGCTGTCAGCTGACGTGGTTTGTGACCATTGTGATCACAACTTGTCATCCATGTCCGAACAATGGGCATGCGGTGTGCGACACCGGCTTACCATGCTACCTCCTCTTTGGTGTTGACTCCCTCGATTTGGATCGAAGACATACTTGGGTACTGATTAGACTTCGACCTGTTTCAACAATAGAAATTTTTTACTAACCTCAACAAAAGGAATTGCAAGAAGTAGAGCCACAGACCCAATAACTTGCATTTCATAAACTCTACTACTTGATTTAGTTTTACCAGGAACACGATTTCTTTCCCCTTTCCCTCATCTAAACCGGCCAATAGCTAGAGATGCAAGACCCCTCTAATTCAATCCGACATCAAACACGCGTGGCAATTTCGCTCAAAACTACAACGAATCACATCAACAACAATTCAGATCAGCCGCCGCATCCTTCCTTACACGAAGATTCAGCTAGGGAGTCCCCCACTAGAGCCACTTCCCATTGAAATTAGCTCATTCACATTGGGGAAAAGAAGCAACCCGCGACCGGAAGCTCAAACCTAGACTTAAGGCTCCACTACAAACCAATCATACGGCCAACACTCGTATCCAGACACCATCACATCGAAAGTCTTTCCAACACAAACAAGCAACAAGCAGCACGAGAAAGCTAAGAATCGATGAGAAACAGCGCCCCGCAGCTCTTGCGCAGGAGACTTGCGCAGGAGACCTCCGCAGATAAGGAATTTGGGCCGTCCTGTTATTACAGAGCCTCGCCAAGGGCATGTTCGTCAGAGACAATGCACGACTAGAGATGATCAATTTCAGAGTGGGTCGATTTCCAGCCAAAATCGGAAACCGGGAACTGGCTCACCCGGTCGTCCCATTCGGTCCCAGAATCAGTGATTTTTTTTTTTTGGGGTTTCTTCTATTCTCTATAAGTGGGAGTTTCCTAACATTAAAAGAAAAAAATAATTTACTAATTAGAATTTCCTTCAAAATAAAAAAAAATAAAAAAAATTGAGAAATCTTAGTCGGTTTGGCTGTCCAGTTCCTTATGTGGCACCAGGAACCAGATTGGCTATTCCCGATTTCAAATTTATTAAATCGGGAACCAGATCAGTCCTTTCGAGAATCACCTAAAACTGCGCAGTCCGATCTAGTTTTCCGGATGGAACCGGGATCCGGGGACTGGATGGATGGCCCTATGTATGCTGAGATCGAGCCTTCGTTTTCATTGGCTTTTGCTTCTGGACTAAGGTTTGCGAGGTTTCTCGTGGCCCGGGTCTCGTTCACCTCGTCATCCATTTCCTGGTCAACGCAAAATATTAAAATACTAGATAGCATGCTGGTCTTAGTTGTTAATTATGCAATATTCGTAAGTTTATCTCTGCTTTCGATCGAGGTTTCCACGTTATGATGATGCAATAATGTTTACACTAAAGAATGGCCAATTTTTTGTTATTATCGACAAGTGATGAGATTAATCAATAAGAGCAGAGTTTCGTGGTCTTTTTGATGTAGCCTAATGTGTCGACTACTCGAGCAATAGGGTCGGGAGAGTGATTTCTACACACGGAGACTCCGTCACAAAACGAGCAGAAATTTTAGTTCTGTGCCAGTTCGGGAAACTGATCATAACTTTGTTGATACAGATCGGACTGACCTGATTCTAAAGCCAAAAGAACAAAGACTCCTGGATCTACAAATTTTATATTTTGAGTTTTCTCAGAAAATCACTTTAGAGTTTTCGATTTTGGAAGAAAGTGGACGGTTGTGACTGGCTAGGATGCGGAAATTTCAGTTCTGCGCTATTTCGGGAAAATGGTCATAACTTTGTCGATACAGATCGGATTGACCTAATTCCAAAGCCAAAGAACGAAGACTCCTGCTGGATCTACAACTTTTATGTTTTGAGTTTTCTTAGAAAAGCACTCTAGAGTTTTTGATTTTGGAAGGAAGTGGACGGTCATGACTAGTCAGGATGTGAAAAAAGGATAAGAACTTCAATGAAGAATCGCCAACTTGAAGGAATCAACAAAAAGTGGAGTCGACAATCTCGGATACAATTGTCGAAGAACTAACCGTCAACGTAGTGGAGTCGAAGCAACCGCTAACGTAGTGGAGTCAAATAAACCATCAAGGTAATGGACTCAACGTAACCGTTTGTAACCTCTGTTACTAACCTTCTGTAACTTATATTTGTAACTGTCCGTAACCTTTGTTAGTAACCGTTTGTAACCTCTGTTGATAACTATCGATTGTAGGCTTTAAATAGCCATATCGTACTTTCCAAAGACCCCTTAACAAAATAATCAAAATGTTATCTTTCAATTATCTTTACTTTCCGGTAACACATTTTATTTTTCCTTAGTTGTAGCTTTCGATTTGCGTAGTTGATTAAATTCCGGCGTTACATCTTTGCACATTCTCAAGCTTTGTCGTCGATTAAATTCCGGCACGATTTGTGTATGTGTGTTCCTGTGAAAGTGGCTATATTTTCAAGTTTTGTTGTTGATTAAATCCCAGCACGATTTGTACGTACAGTTCAGTTCGAAATTCAAAGTAAAAGTTTGCGGTGATTTCTTGTCTGTCAGGATATTTTCTATTCGAAATCGCTGTAGAACCCGTCTCCTCTCATTAAAAGCCGAAGAACGACTTTCGGTGAATTATTCATCACTGGAGCAATCTTGGCGAAACAAATAAATTCACACAATGCCCTGTTTTCTCTCTGTTCATGGATTCTATTTTTTCGAGCTATTGCTGTGATGGAGGGTGCGAAGGGAAGAAGAAGAAGCAAAAAATAAAAAACCGATACCCAAACTGTGTTTTTAGTTCGGGTCACGGTTCATGTCAAAACATGCACACATCCCATACGGTTCGGTTCGGTTCAGTTCGGGTATCAAGAAAATCCGAACCGAACCGATCCGTTAACACCATAGTGTTGACGGACTCGGACTTAAGTTCTCTCTTGATGATCTCCTTGTGTATTTGTTGCGCGCTCCCAACAGTTTATTTGGTGCAAGACATTTTAGTGCAAATTCAAAAAACTCAGAGTAAAAATGCTAACATTATTCATGTGTGCTCTGGTGTCCTAAAACCAACATGAACTTGGATCGGGAATCTTTCACGGGATTAAACTCGAGACATTTTCTTAACAATATTATAGCTTGTTTTGCAAGACGAGGTGAGTGCTCTTATTTGTCCATTACATATATTCATCCCCGAAATGCAAAGTGACCTTCACCAGTTCCTTACCTTTAGTGTGATGATTGACATCAACATTCCATACTGGCTATTTAAGAAATAAAAAGTGGGCCTAATTAAAAAAAAAAGCGTCAAGTTTATCTTGAGTGACAATTCTGGCCGAACTTTTCTTTATCTCATAAAAAATCATAAATTTTCACTTAAATCCCAAATCTGATCCGAATAATTTGAAAATTTCACATCATGGGGGCTAGATTTGAGATTTGAGTAAAAGTTAGTACTTTTTATTGAGACAAAAAAGATTTGGACCAGAGTTGTAACTTAAGGTAAAGTTAGTGTTTTTTTTTGGAATTGGCCCCTAGCATAACCAAAAGATCAAGGCAAGTTATAAGCATCCCAAAACATTTACTAGTATTGAGGGCACGTATGTCTATGTAATGTTTGATTGTGCTTTAAAGTGTCTAACACGCAAAGGAAAAGAAAAAGTAAGCCGAATAACGACATATGAGAAAGAGTCATAGCCAAGGAAGAACGTACCAGGCAGCGCAAGACTACCTAATTTTTGCTTGAAGTGAGAATCTTAACAAGGGTACCCCCTCTACTCATCGGAAAAATTCTCCTATGCAACAAAGACTTCACAAATAAATTATTGACATAGTTTCGGCTTTCCAATCAATTAATCAAATGATCTCGTTAAATAAGTGCCTGATATGTATGATCCTACATCATGTTGGGATTATCTCATATCGATTGTAGAAAGAACTGATTATCAGTTTTTGAGTGTGAGAAAAAGCAACAATCATAATTTAGCTTTTGTGACGAAAGATGATCAAGACCGCCCAAAATTGGTATTAGAGCTCAGTTACTAACAAGTCTACGCCCAACAGTCGTGAAAGTCTCACAGGCATAATAGAGGTCTAAGACCACCCAACCCATCACTTATATATCAAAATATTAAAATTTTTATGGGCTAGGGCAAAGTAAAGAATACTAAGATGCATCGGTAAGATTGCTATATTAAGCGGTTTGATAGGTATCACAGGTAAAGAACTTTAACAGTATAGTTTTACAAACGAAGATTACTCTTCTATCATATTTATTCTGGGAGATACTTTCTCCCGTCTCACGCCAACTTGAAAAGAATTAAACAAAGCTTATTGGAGACGGGAGAGGCCAAGCCAAGAAAAGCATAAAAATAATATGTTCCAACAAGTAAATTTAATCCAAGTTCGCCACCTTGCTCGAAACAAACACATTGATCAAGCATGGCTGCTTCCAACACGATAAGATACATGATAGCCGCCGAAGCCGCCACCGAGATCTTGTCCCAGAAACTAGAGATGTTGCTCTCTCACCCGGTGCGCACAAGGTGCTTATTGATGGAACCACTCGCCCAGGAGGCCAAGAAGAAGCTGGCCACGATCCAAGAGTTCTTTTCCACGCAAGACAGATTGTCCCAGAGCACGGTGTGGTTGAGGCGGCTCCTCCAAGCCATATACGATGCTGAGGAATTCATCGACAAGTTCCACCTCAGAGAGGCCCGCGGGAGGCACGAGATCCTGCACGTGGCCACAAGGCCGCCCACTGCTCTCATCTCCAAGTACAAGCTGTGGAGGGACCTGTCCAATCTGGTGAATAAGATGGAGGAGTTGTGTCAAGATCAGGGCTTGACGGGCCAGAAGGAGGCCAAGGCCAAGACGAGGAACGATCCTGGTGGTTCCTCCTCCCCTGCTAGTGTTCCAGGGCAAGGCGAAAAACTGGCGAGGCTGACTAGTTTATGGGATCAACAAGCGTCGGAAAACTTCTTTCGGCAGGAGGAGAAGAAGATATTAATGGAACGGTTTGTGGAGGGAGGGAGTTGGGGGAATCTCGCTGGGACTTTGATTTGGGGTGAGCAAGGCGCCGGCAAGACATTCCTCGCAAGATGGGTCTGCAGGGAAGCGATGTGCCTGGGCTTCGAGTGGCGCGCTTGGGTCCGCCTCTCGGCCAGCATGGACATGCAGGAGTTGTTATTCGAGATACTGAAGCAGTTAGGGGAGCTAACGAGGGAGCCGAAGGACATGAGTTTGGACGAGTTACAGGAATTGCTCTACAAAAGATTGGCCACGGGGACCAAGTTCCTCATAGTGTTGGATGACGTGCAGTCGTCCAACGTGGAACTCTTGCAAATATTAGTGGGGATCCGCCTGTACCAAGGGCGGGGCCACATAATTACCACGACTCAAGACGAAGGCGTAGCCAAGAGCATGAGCTTTCCCGAGGCAGGGCCGATCAAGCTAAGTATATTAGACCCAGAAAAAAGCCGGGAAATGCTCGCTACTAGGTTGTATAGAGTTGCTGATAGTCAGAGACTCTCATATGAGGAGAAGCATATCCTAAACAGGTGTCGTGGCTTGCCGCTTTGTATATCCTTACTAGGCGGGTTTCTGTTGAATGTTGGAGAGCAGGAACGCGCAGCATTGGCGAAAGAGGGTTCTATGATGACTTTGTTAGATATACTACAATTGAGTGTCCATAAATTGCCGGTCCATCTAAAACCGTGCTTCATCTACATGGCTTTGTTCCCCATAGCATTCCCCATTCCGACAAGAAGGCTAGTGAGGTTGTGGTTGGCTGAGGGCTTGTTGGATTCGCATTGTTACAATGGAGAAAGGGAAACAACAAGGACGCCCGAGGCTGTGGGGGAGGCTTTTATTCTGGAGCTCGCGGATAGGAACGTGATTGATGTGGTGAGCTGGAGGGCGGATGGATTCCCCAAAGCTTGCCAAATGCTCACCTCTCTGTATGACATGATCTGCCCGATCGCGATGGGCACGGGGTTCCTCCACGTACATGCCGCTATCCGCAATCCAACTGGCCAGCAACAACAACTGCTAGAAAGAACCAATGTCCGGTGGCTCGCAGAGCACACGAACATAGTCACTGACAGCCATTATGGTAGCTTCCTTGATTTACACCTCGGCCACGTCCGCTCGTTCCTGTCGTTCTACATGAGGAGAGGCATTCTCACCAAGGATATCAGCACGTTCCTTAGGATCATGACCTCCAAGGCCGCCTATAGCTTGCTAAGGGTGCTTGACTTGGAGGGTGTATATAGGCCATCCTTGCAAGGTGTGCTCCACAAACTAGTGCTCCTAAGGTACCTAGGATTGAGATGCACGATGCTAGACTCACTCCCACGTGAGGTTGTGGATCTGTGCTATCTCGAGACTCTTGACATAAAGCACACCAACATCACTTCCTTGCCGAGTTCCTTGTGGAAGGCGAGGAACTTGAGGCACCTGCATCTCAACTGGTTCTACATCAATTTGAATACCATCCTCAAGGCTTGTAGCAACAATGTCATGGCCTTGACTAAACTCCGAACCTTAAGCGGGCTGGTTATCAGTGAGGTCAAGTTGAACTTGATGAGTGACCCCGTGGACAGCTTGACCACGCTCACCACGCTAAAGCTTTTCTTGCGACGCTCGGGTGGCGACACCTCAGGCGCTGCAGAAAAAGAAGTAGCCGACTGGATTAGCTTCAGGCTCGCCAATCTCCAGTCCTTGACCTTTGGGGTGACCCAGAAAGCCAAGTCCACGAAAAAAGTCAGGCCCAAGAAAGAAGCCGAGCGTGCAATCCGCATGACATCGCAGATAGGCCTGTTGCCGAAACTGTCGTTGGCTGAAAAACATCACGACCTGTTGGAGCTCTACTTGCTGGGCCAACTCGACAAACCCATCTGGACGCAGCTCTTGCCTGGCTCGCTCAGGGTTTTGACTCTGTCGGGTTCGAAGGTGGAAGCAGACATGATGCCCCAGTTGGCTGATCTCCTGAAAAACCTGAGGACACTCAGGCTCTTGGCCAATTCCTTCCTAGGCACTCGCCTGAGGTTCGCCAAAGATGGGTTTCCCAGCCTCATGATCTTGAAGATTTGGCGGCTGCCTTGCCTTGTGGAGGTGATTATTGAACCAGGAGCAATGCTCCATCTCAAGGAACTTGAGTTAAGGCACCTCGATGCGATAAAAAATGTTAAAGGGATCGGGGAGTGTAAGGAACTAAAGAATATCTCTGGGGTAGTCAAAAAGGGTGCTCAGGCTTTTGTTGACCATCTCAAGACAGTAACAGGAGAGACGAGGATTGCGTTCGCAGAGACGGACGATGACGATGACGATGACGAGGACGAGGACGACAGGTATGGGACCATAGAAAATCTCAAACATGATGAAAATGTTTTTATAGATTAATAATTTCAATAATTACTTATTAGTTATTAAAAAGAACGAAAAAAATCGGGGGCGCAGAGGGAGAGCTGCCCTATCTGCACGTTGATATGGACACCAACGTGTTCTTTACACATGGTGATGAAAATGTTTATATAGACTTGATAATTTTTCATTGATGATTAAAAACTACGATAATGATTTTTATCGGATAAGAATTATGTTTGCTCATTTCACCATATCAAGTCAATACATATTAAGAAACTATGAAGACTACAATGAATCCTACTAAATAACACAATATCACATGGGCAATAGCATTTGACCTTTGTGGAATCTATGGTTGGATTCAAAAGTAACCTTTAGAATCAACATAACTCTCCCCACAGCCTGCGCACGTCGAGTGAGCCTTTCACCTAGCTCACACGCAAGACGTTGAAGAAGAGATAAAACGATTTTTTTTTTTTACACTTACACTAGTTAAGACCTCTCCTTTACTTACCATATCATAGTTCAAAAAATGAAGCTTCTCAAATAGGAACAAATCTACAAGGTTTTACAAGAACTATTAGGAAAGCTGTGTGTATGTGTGTTTGTGTGTGTGAAGCTTACTTATTAAATGGTTTCTTGTTTTCTACAGTTGGGACTGTGACGAGGAATAAGCTTCGCCTGGAATACAAGCTACTATAGTGATCTTCGGAGCTAAACATATGAATATGTCCCATCCTCCCACCTTGCCAACCCACCCTTATTTCTCTCTCTAAGTGTCGAATAAATAATTTCATATAATTGTTATCTTATGTGATGAACTGACATGATGCCATTCATCCAATGCAAGATATTCTTTCTTCAGTCTTAGGCATCCATGTCAACATTTACTCAATCCAATGAGGTCAGAAAAGCACCAGAGCAAAAGAAATAAAATGGCTTAAATGAAGTTGAGGAGTCACAATTATTGAGCGCATGCCGCAAAAGTCATGAGTTAAATTACTAATTTAATCAGTCACAAGCTTTTAAATAAAAAGCATATAAGACGAAGGAAGATATAGAAACATTATTATATTAGTCCAATTACCATCAATCAAGCGCTAATGCTTATATTGAAGAGCCTAGACCATAGGGGTGGCAAATGAGTGCATTAGGTTGAGTTTGAGCGGGTGATAAATGGGTTCGATCCAATTTCACCCATTTAACTCACATTAATCCATATGTTTCTTAAACAATTTAGATTGCCCGTACCTCAAAACCCCATCCAATTTAAAGCCACCCATTTAACCCATTCAAAAGACAGAAAAAAGCCAAAATAGATATGAAAATCATTTCTTGTAATTTAAACTGACCTGCCAATAACATTAAAAAAAATAAAACCACTTCCTTCCTCGGGGAAGAACCTTCGTCCAGGGTTTTTCAGAGCATCGTCCTCATTGGTCACCAAAGGTCATTGTGCGGGGGAGATGAAGCGCGCGGTGGACGTGCTCGCGGAGGACTAGGGTGACCTGTCCCACTCCTTCAAGCCTTCTCGCGTCCTTAGGCGACCGCCGACGCCTTCGCCTTCGATCGAGTCCTTCACCTTCCACGGAGAATCAAGCCGAGCTCTTCCGAACGAGGAATCGGCGATTGCACAGGCGAGATCGTTAGCTCCGATAACTTGACGGACGACCATGTTGAGTTGGCGGACTCCTTTCTGCCGCCTGGTGGGAAAAAAGGATCAGGGCCACCATTTGAAGAATTGAGGTCGATAGACCCATCTCGGATGTTGAGGATCCGAGGGTGCCTGGTGGCCATGGTGTACATCAGGGTATGATTCCTCAGCCGCGTCGCCGACGTCCCTTCCACCTCCGCCAGTTGCTCAAGGATCGCTTTCATGACTATCTCTCTCGGATTCAGTCAAGTCTCTCAGCTTCTTTCAGCACCATCTCACAAATGGATTTTGTGGGCTTTTCGGAGATGGGCGGCAGCGAAGCGAAGCCGGATATTGGCGGTGGTGGCAGCAGCGACGCCAATCAGTCGGATCAAAGAGGAGGAGGAGGAGAGCTCACGAGTCACGAACCTTAGGACGAAGATGGAGAGAGAGTATAGACCAGCGTAAGAGGAAGAAGAAGATGGGCTGACCTGTAAAATTTACTCTTTCGATTATATGGGTCGGAAGTGGGTTCGTAATAATAGATCCATTTAGACCCACTTATTTTAGACTTTTCTTTTCAAAACCTATTTTGATCATTATAACAAATTTGAGCCAACGCATTTATGATCTACTTTAATAAATATGGGTTAAAACATGGATTAATGATTTATTTTCACAACTTTACTAAATCGGTAAGAGGACCTGTAAGCCCTCGTATGTTCATGAGTAAATTATAAAGCTTTTGTTCGATAAAAAAAATTACAAAGTTTTTGTACAATGACCTGCATCTAAATCACATATATATTACCGGTTAAAAAGAAGTCATACCATCTTAGATAGTTGGACGAACGATTTGGTCGTCATTATGCAAAAGCAAAACTGTCCAAAACAAAGCATTCCAAGAAAGACATCATAGTGCTTTTCAACTAATGAAATTTTGTGCTTGATCGCCGAGTAGTAAAGTTTAGGCCAAACATTTCCTTGGAAGCTTCCTCTGGCCGAACAAAACCAACAAGCTTTGCGCGAATTTTGGCACTCTCGGTCACCTGGTCCATATCTTCTCTGTTAGACCACAACGGGTGGCTACATGGTCCCTATCTTCTGTGTCGGACCACAATTCTTGGCACTCTCGACAGGGACTTGAATCACTAGCTTCACGTTCTCTCTCTTTGCCAATCACAATGTTGATGTTAGAGAAGCCAAATCACCACAAGAAAATATTATTAGGCCAATCTTGCCACGTAGATGTAGGATACTCCACTCAATGATCGTCGCGTAACGAGGCACTTATTTCAAATTTCCAGTCTTCATCTCTCTCCTCTTCCTCTCTCTCCCTCTCCCCTCCTCCTCCTCCTCCTCCTATCCACTTCTTCTTCTTCTCCGCGCAGGCAACGTCTCCTTCCATATCAATTGCAGCTCCGCCACTAACTCTACCAACGCCTTCAACACCGCATGGCTGTCCAATCACTTCTTCACCGGTGGCTCCTCCTGCGTCATCACTCCACTCATTGATTTTTCGTCCTAGCCCTCGTCGGATCTAGCGGGCCCTCGACCCTCACCCCTATGGCTGATTGCCGGCTATGACCAATTACCAGCCACAGATCAAAGAGAAAGAAAAGATAAAGGAAAAAAAGAAAAAGAAAGACGAAGAAAACAAACGGCGAAATAGACAAAGAAATTGACCAGTGGGGCTACCTAGACAGGTGACAATTTACGTGGTAAGATTGGCTTACCTTGTATATCATCAACGTCTGAAATTGTCGAACTCATGGTCGCCATGATTTGTCAATGTGATTGCTCCTCTCCCTCTCCGATCATTTTTTCCTTCTTACTTAATCAGATTCGTAAACCAAGTAACTCAATTGGTGGATTTGCTGCTTCAGACGTGAATTGTCGTTTGGTAATGAATGCATTTAATTTTGATGAACGTGGTGATGCTCTTGTTAGATAATATATACTTTGGTTCCAAGAAAATTACCAAAACAGTTCTAAACCTATTGCAATTGTGGCAATTCAGTCTTAAACTTTTTTTTTGTGTCAATTTAGTCCTAAACTTTTTACATTTGTGCCAATTTAGTCCATTCGGCTAATTTTGGCGATCGGCCAATGATGACGTGGTAATTTTTTAATATTTTTTTTAATATTTTTTTTATTTTTTTTCCTTTCTCTTTTTTTTTCCTTTCCTTCTTCCTCTTCGCCAGAGGCTCGCCGGCGAGGTGACCTCGCCGGCCACTGGAGAGGCTCACCCTTGCCTTCACTGAGCGAGGTCGAGCTCACCCAGCCATGGCGAACTCCGCCCTCGCCGTCGCTAGGCGAGGCTCGCCCTCGCCAGTGCCGGCGAGGGCGAGCCTCCTAAGTGGCCGGCGAGGTGACCTCGCTAGCGAGCCTCCCCTTGGCTGGACCGGCCAAGGGAAAGAAGGAAAGGAAAAAAAAAAGAGAAAAGAAAAAAAAATTAAAAATTATATTAAAAAATTGTCACGTCAGCGTTGGCCGGCCGGCTGGCGTCCATGTCAATGTCGGCCGGCCAAAATTGGCCGGATTGACTAAATTGGCATAAACATAAAATGTTTAGGACTGAATTGGCACAAAAAAAATTTATGATTGAATTAGCATAGAATTAGGACTATTTTGATAATTTTCCCTTTAGTTCCTCCAAACTCTTTTTTTTCATGCTCGATATGTAAATTCGATTAAGGCTATTTTAGTCTACAAATCTGCATATTACGCTTTCCCTTGTCTGAGCATAATTTGTAATATTGCCCTGTTCGGTAATTCTTTTCGGTGGTTGGGGTGTGCTAGAAAGTCGGGGAAATGGTTAAATTCAGCTTCGCTAGGTTAATCCTGTCTGCATTTCAGGCGAGGTCCTTGTTCTTAGTTGACTTCTAAATCAGCTCATATGCCAATCTTATTTGTTTCCAATTGGGTTTGGAGAGTGTGGATTAATGCAGAAGTGATAGAGATATTTGTAAGTAAGTAAAGGTTTCTATATCAAATTTTAAGTCATTAATAGATCAATATCATGATGCAATCGACAAAGGTTTTAGATACATGTAGAAGTCTTCAAATTTAGACGTGCCAGAGAAGAAATGTGCAGAAGAGAGAAATATGAAATTTATTTATATTTCAATATTACTTAACGAAGAGTATATGAGATTATTTATAGACTTTATGATACTAGAATAATTAGGGGTGAGAACGGTTCCAGGTTCTACCCTGGAACCTGAGAACCTGACTAATGGGGAACTAGTTGGTTTTAGGTTCTAAGGTATGCAAGGTAAGTTCTAGGTTTCAAAAATTGAGAAACTTGTTTTGACTGGTAGGTTTCAAGTTCTAAGTGGGTGAAACTTAGAACCTGTTTTCTCGTGATCCTGCGGTATTTCATGACATTAGATGACGAGTATATGATTTTGAATCACTAGTCTGAGCTTTTATTTTATGACTTATTAATGTTTCGTATTCTTCGTGTATCTAAATATAAGTTATGGTTAGTAGATCATAGTAGTAAGTGGTGGTTATTAAAGGTGATGATTCACTGCAATTGTTCAATTAATAATACAGGTGGAACCTGAGTGGACTTTGGAACCGACTTTCGAACCTGTAATAGGGTAAGTTTCAAGTTTTAAGAAATGAGGAACCTATTATCATGGATGGAACCTATACGGAATATGAAACTGTTCACCCCTAGCATCGATTCACGCAATGACTTCTCATTTTAGTTATATTTATTTGAACCGTAATGTTAGGAAAAATAGTCTTTTGCATTTCGTTTGATGAATGACAAGCTTGTTTAGTATTGTTGCGTTCATTTTTATTTTGTTTAACTAAAAATGCAATAAAAAAAAAACCTGTTAGACCCTGGAACCTATCTTGAAACCTGTGACGGGATAGGTTTCAAGTTCTAGGTTCTTACGTATAGGTTTTAGGTTCCAAAAAATAAAAAATCCCTATCGAGGGTAAATTTTAGATTTTATGTGAAATTTGTAAGGAATCTGGAACTGCTCACCCCTAAGAATAATGGCACCATTACTAGCAAGTTGTAACGGTGCAAGCTGGACCGCATGTTTTATTTTGCAAAGGATGGACAAACGGATGGGCAACCAAGTGAAGAGAAAATATTAGGTACTTGGGAGCCATGTTGAATTTACTTGAGCCCACTTATCAGTTGACACGTGTACACGACTGACGCCACGTCCGATTCCACCGCTCCGCTCCTGCAACTCTCTCTTCTCTCGATTTAATATCTTCTTCCTCCTCTCCTTGATCTGTCTCCAGCAAGTCAGCAAGTCAGCGACTTTGCCAACTGGGTCTCCGTCCTCTCTGCCATCGACCCCACGACGCTCCCCCGTCTCTGCCCCCCATGGACCCTCTCTCTCCTCTACAACGTCGTTCGTGGACAACTCGTCTTCTTGCAACTCAAGTTCTTCAGCACCAGCTCTCGCCCGCCGATCCGCCTGCCCACAACTCAAGCTCTTCAACCTCGACGGCTGCCCTCTCCTCGAGCCCGACCTCTTCGTCTCCGACGCCCTCGCCGTGCACGGCATCGCCTGGATCCTCCATTACTCGGTCTCAGCTTGAGGAAATGATTGGCCAGCGTTCGTTTTTTCCTTAATTTTTTCTGTTCTTTTTCTGTTCTTCTCGAGCAGTTCAAGCCAGGTGAAATACATATGATTTTTCTTTCTCTGTAAATTCTGAGATCATACGAAGTCTAATTGAGTATGATTTTTGAGGTGGGAGATCAAGAATGAAAGAAGCAGTGTTTTTTTTCTTTCTGAGTTCGTTGACGTGATTGAAATAAAAAAGGTGAAGGGAGTGTATCTCTTCTTCTTGGTCGATAAAAATAGTTTCATTTGGCACTTTGAAGTTGCGACTGACTTGAAATCTCTGCTTTATATTTTCAGTTTTTCATTCATTCATTTCTTTCATTTCCATTGAGAGAAGAGAGAGTAGCGGGAGCAGAGCAGGGCAGTGCAGGGCAGTGCAGTGCAGAGTATGAGATAAAGTCAGGCGTGGGGACTCAAGTACCCAATATCTTTTCACCGGTTGGGATCCATCTTGATATCCCGAGGAGACCGAACAAGCAAATCATCCGGTTTCCTTAGGTAAATATGTGGTGCATGCAGTGAGCTTATTATCATTTTCCTTTATTGAATGACTACTTAAGACAATTAAATCAATTTTTTTTGTCAAAATAATCAAATCAAGTTAGATTAATCAAGATATGCACAATCGGGGCTATAGAGAATCTCCAAGATATATGAAGAATCACATGAAATATGGAAAATATGGATCCTGCGTAGAAGTGATAAAAAAAATCCGTAAGAAAGGCCTGATGGATCAATGAAGCGGTTCAGAAGAGGGAGCCGTTACTACTTACGTGGTTTTAGTGCGTTATCATAGCTGCCATGATTTGGCAGTTAAATGATATGCTTATAACAGTAGGTCTTCAACCATGATTTGGCTTATTTCATCAAGTTATGAACCTTATTCTAGAAAACAAAAGCTGATAGTTTCAGAAAGCTTTATCTATGATAATATTATTATTTGAATGTTCAAGCTGCTTATCAATGTCTCTTTGTGTTCTACTTGCCCCAAATTTTAACGCAGCTGATATGAAGAACTCTTTGTTTGTTTCTCTTCTTCTTTTTTGTCCCCTTTTGTTCAGTGGTGGGGAAGAGATCATATGTAATTTTGATGTGCTTTTTGGGTGAATGACTTTGGTTATTGGGTGAGACCTTGGAAGATAATTTTAGCACTATTTTCTAAGGCTATGCTATCGGTCAAATTCTACCTGGGAATCAAACCGAACCAGCCATTCCAGCGGAAACAAGTCCGGTTTTCTGTTCCAAAAATTTCAAATCGTTTTACACTGGTACTATTAGGTTTCACGTTTTGGGTGCTCGGGAACTAGTTAGAACTTGTTTTATAAGATTGGAAGAAACTAATTTAATTTTCTTAAATGAGCTTAACTTCCCTATTTTTGTATATTTTTTATCAATATATTACTTAGAGTCGTTTTGTTGCTCATACTATTTTGTTGTAACTACTATTTTTTCTTTTTTTTTTAAAATGAAGCAATAAAAGAAAAAGAAATTCCTTACCAAAAAAAAAAAAAAGAAATTGGTTCCCAGATAGACCTTAAAACCGAACCGGAGAAACATGGTAAGTTCTAGGGCACAGAGCAAATAGGGTAGCTTCCAAACCAAGTTCCAAAAAGTGAGAACCGATTTTAATAGGATAGGTTTCAAGTTCTAAGTCTAGAATCTATCTGCCTTGGAACCGATCACCATTACTATTTTCCATTGATGAATGCACATAAATGGTCATTAACTCATATGCTTCATGACTACATACCGTTAAACGCAGGGACTAGATTTGGGTCAGAGTAAAAGTTTAAGATTTTTCTTGAGCCGAAAATTAGGTTGGGTAGATAAATGTGTTGTGGAGTATCGGTTTGAAATTTTTAATAGTATTAACCCTTTTAGTTTTCCATAAATTTTGCGGCGATCATACTTTGACTTTTATTGTCACAAAACACTCGATGCTTTTCAAAGAATTCAAATATTGTTACGTAGAATCATATATAATGAGTTTTTCATAATTTTCCAAGACAATTATTTTTATTTCTAAACTTTTGAGAGAAAACCGAATATTTTCAAAGTAAAAGTTATTAACCACATGGACAAGCTAGCTACTAATTTTTGATAGGTTGAAAGTTATTTTTTTATAATTGAAACTTACGAATCAATCTAAAAAAAATTAGAGAAAAAGCCATCAAAAACCCCAAACAATGCTCACTGTGACACATTTACCTAAACCTTTTTTGTGACACCAAAAATCTCAAACTTATATTTGTATAATATATTTACCCTCTATTAAGATTCTGTCAATATGCACCATTAAAAACGTGCTTACATAAACGACCCAAGTCAAATGGTGTTGGTGTAGCTTAAGTGAATTAAAAACAACGTCGTTTTGACTTGAAAATAATTTGACGCAACCATGACGAAGAGTTAATGTTTCACACAGGTATAAGTTTAGAGTTTTTGATGTCACAATAAAATTTTTTGGGGTAAATATGTCATAATGGGCATAGTTTAATGTTTTTTATGTCACAAAAAAAAGTTCAGGGTAAATCTGTCATGGTGGACATAATTTAATTTTTTTTATGATTTTTTCGTTTATTGCATACATATTTATTTTCTCAAAATTAAAAACTTACAAACCAAGGTGAAAATTAATTACGTTAAGGAGTTGCTAACCAAATAAAAGGTTACGAACCACTTTTTTTTTTGGTCGTATACGAACCACTTTGAGGAGTGGCTAATTACTGACAGGTAGAAAGTTACTAACCATCTTGAGGGACTCAAGTTCTCCGTCCCAATTTGGCTGGCTTCAGTGGAATGCCTATGGTGAACAACTGATACACACATTTTCATTATTTCTGACTTTACTCCAATTGCAACACACACTGAAATAACTCCCTCACCATCTCAAGACGATGAGTTTAACTTATTCATCTCACTCAAATAACATTACGTTTAACCAAAAGACACATTCCACCTGAAACTTCTACTTCATAATCAGTTTGGTAACGTATGGTGCTCCGGAAGTTCGTACGGGCTGCGCTATGCCGAGATGCGCCATGAGAAGCCAAGCGTGGCTAAGAAGCTCTCCTCCTCTGTTCAGGCTCTCGCAGTGTTCGTAGCCTTTGCATTCGTAAGCCGCATAAATCAGCATCCTCACCCAGAACTTGCTGATCATGTCCCACTTGTCGACTGATTTTAACTGGGTAGCGAGATGGCACGCGTCAATCAGCACCGACGTGCTTTTGGTTCCGCGCATCTTCAAGGCGGGCAATTGAATTCCCACTTGGGACAGAAGCCAGCAGAGTCCGCACAGATCGCTTGACTCTCTCGACTTGTGCGCCTCTTTGCAGCTGCCAAAACAGGTGTGGACATGTGCCCCTTTCTTGAATAATTTATGCGCCCCCTCGATGACGACCGATGAGATGCTGCCTTCCTTCTTTGACAACATCGCTACCTCGTCGTCGAAGAACTTCTGAGCTTCGACCAAAGTGTCTTCGTATCGCAGCACCCCTATCCCTGCTGGCAACATGGAAGGATAGAATACCAAAAGATAGAGCATGTACTGTGAGACCAACATACACATTTCGGAGTTCTTGCCGTCTTCGTCGCTCAGCGTCTTCCCCCCGTCTATGTAGTGACAGAGCTCAGTGGCGATGTGCCATATGAGGATGCATTGGTCAAACTTCATCTCTTCCACACTCCAGGCCAGATGATCGCAGTTTGACCGCTTCAGCAGTTCGTGCACCTCCAGCTTAAGACTAGCCGACCCGCTCTTCAATCCGACGGTCCGTTCCAGATTTCTGACCGTCTCCGTCATGTGCCTGAAGATCAATCCTTTGAAGTAGCGGTCGAACTCTTTGTAACGGATGTAGAAGTTCTTATCCACCACCTCGTGCAACTTGGCAAACCTCTGATGGCGGAAGACGCTTTTTCTTTTCCTGATAGATGATCTCAAGAGGCTGAACTGGGCCACGGAATTCGACCATCTTTGGCTCGGGCTGAACCGGAGAAGAGCGATGGCGGACGAAATTGCGGATCTCCTGGATCTCTGAAGCCGCCAGTGGTGGATCCAATCCGATGAAATTGCTAGAAGAAGCGAGTATATTTCTAAAAGTATGGCCACACTTATCAGCAAGAAAGTTATACAGATGTCAACAGTGGGGTAATCCTTCTTATCCTGTAAGGAGAAAAACACCAACACGGCACACGGCACCGAGAGACTGATGACCCAACGAATGATGCCCCAAGCAAAGTTCAGCAACGGGGCCTTGGTGAAGAGCAGATCGTACATGAGCCCGAGCTCGATCTCCACGATATTAAAAGCCTCCGCCGAATCCATGTCTGGGCCCATGAACAGGCGCTGACTAGCCTCCAGGTCGACAAAGTTGACGGTCAGGCCCACAAGGAGAAGCTTGAAGATCTTGAAAAACTCATAGCCTCTGACCAGAGTCCTGTCCTTTTCGCGGGCTTGACCTCTGTTAACCGCGAGATACTCCGGACCCGGAATCTGTGTGATTTGGTCGATTCCGACCAGGTAACCCTCCTCTTTCCTCAGAGCGTACTGCTCCATTTTCCTGGAGTATATGGGACCGACATCGGGACGCGAAAGCATCGAATCTCGAAGTGGACCTTTGCTTGCCCGGTACAAACACAATGTCCTCTCTGCATATTTGATGAACCCCATCAGGATCATACCCGCCGCTACTATCGACAGTGTAGATCCCGACAAGGCCATGGAGTAAATGTGACACGCTAGTCCTACCTGGATGCAAAGCCGTGCCAACTGCCTCGGCCACAGCTCGTTGTCCGCCAGGGCATATGCAGTGATTGTGTCAGGCCCGCCCAAGTGGAGGAGAAGGAACGGCGCCCAGAATGCTGTGATCTGGCTCTTCGGATCAATCATCCCCTTGGTTTCCTTGATGTTGGCCAGGCGGTTCGAGAGGACGCCAAGTGTGAAGGTCGCGATGGAGTCGGCCAATAGGTACGTCGTCCAGAGGATGACTTTGATCCAGTTGCTGAAGATGGATTTCCTCCGGCTGCCCTGAGTCGCAAGGGTCAATTGGAAGAACAAGCTGAGGAGGACGAGCAACCGCATCTCCCACTCCTTCCACAGTTCACGAGTGTTTTGGGGGAGCAGCACAAATCCCATTGTTGAACTCGAACTGATGGCACCAAAAGGCGCAACGATCGGTGCTGTCTCAAAGAGCGGTCAAACTTAGGATTGTATATATATGGAGAGGACAAAGGAAGGCAAAACAGCATTAGGTTTGAATTTACCTCAGCATCATCCTCAGAACTGTCACCATTATATAAGCATTAACTTGGGATATGAATTAAATTCAAAAGCACCTATTTACCCTGCAATCTGCATAACATTACAAGGAACAAAAAAAAAATAGTACGCTTTTCGAAACACCAGCGACACATTTCTCGCAACACCACTTTTAAATGCATAATCATCAAGCGATTCTCTGAATTTGCCCAAGGCAGAAGTAAAGCGACAAAATCAGATTCCAGCCTTTGTACTAGCATGAGTATGATTTACTTTAATTGAGAAGATTGGAATATAGGCCGAGAGTTAAAATTTGGTTTCTCAATCACTACTGCAAAGTGAAATACATTGAACTTGACCCTAGCCACTATGAATTTCACACTTATCCAACAAGCATCACTAGCTTAATGTGATTCATGTGGAATATTGGAATAACCTATTTGGCTTGCTATCACAAGTAGAGATGCACAAAAAGGCCATAAGAGGGTGATAAATGCTCACTCCAAATTGAAGCAATTCCAAAACATGGAATCAATTGCTTCGATTCCAATAGAAAAGCATATTATTTCGTTGAACACTAATCTTCATGCCAAATCCGTGAATGAAATCGTCACCCCAATAAAACATTGCATGAGAGCACATATATCTCACACCACGTCGCTATCAGCTGATGTGGTTTATGATCTCAATGATTAGAACTTGTCATCCATGTCTGAACAATTGGCACGAGGTGTGCGACACTGGCTGAACATTTTTCTCCATCTATACATGATGTTTTACAAGGATGCATGTGGGGCATGACAGTCGCTCAACATTTTGATCTTCCACACGTTGCCTCGCGAAGGACATGCGGATGGTGGCCCACGTCCAGCTTAACTTAACTAGGCCCCTAACATTGCAAATCAAGGCTTGAAACATGCGACTAAGAACCTACAAAAACCTCGAAGTCCAACTTAGAAAAGCAAATTTTCTTTTCCCTGTCAAGAAAAGAAAAGCATCACTGCCACAACTTTTGTATGACATTTTTTTTTTGTTGAACTTTTGTATGATGTTGATTGGTACTAAAACCTTTCAAAAATCATTAAAGTGTGAAAAATGATCTCTTAAGTAGCTCCAGTAACTTAGTTTGTCTGAAAATCTGACGCGACTTACTAAATTCACTTAAATGGACATTTTAAAAAAAGAATTGGCACTGAAATGATCGTTCATAAAACTTTGACGGTATATTGATCCTTTTATCATATTGTTGCTCTGAAATTTTTAAAATTCAAAACTTGACAAAACGAGATTGTGAGCCTAGAGTAAAAAATCACAAAGCAAATATTCTAACTTTGTCACTATTTTCCTTGATATTGTTAGACTCAAAAAAGCAAAATCACGGAGCAAACATTCTCTCAAAATACTTTCATTTGAAATTATAAAGATCTATTTGTTTTTCTTAAGAAAAGGGCAAGCGAGTAAAATTCTCGTTTAAGAACAAGATGGCTTCACTTGCAGATCATCACTTTGTGTTGTCATCATATAACATCTCAAGGAATATGGACAAGATGAAATTGAGAAGAAATATCAATTTTTGACATTATATTAGTGGAGAACTAGAGATATGGGACTACCCCTTTTAAATCAATAGAGAGATACGTAAAGCCCGGAGAAATTAAAGGTCACATGATCAAAGCTGTAAAAATCAAAGGAAAAAAAATGTACAAATGGGGATCTCTATTCGAGTCAATCATATGTAACTTTTCTAAATTGCTGGGATTTTGCTATACTATACTATTCTGTAATATTATGAAATGCAAAAAGGATCACAATCTTTTTTTCTCAAAAATATCTTCAAGTAGTTATTTTACAAATAATTTATGGATTAGCAAATGCCGCGATTAACGATTCTACTTTATCTCTCATGTTATTTTATTTTATTTTTAACATTTAAACATTTTCTATCTTCTAAACAGCACTACTATAAAAAAGATCAAATCTCGAAACATTTTTCATTTTCCACCGTCTATACAATTCCGACATATTGTGTCAATAACTTCTTTTCGTTAATTAGTAATTCACACGGTTTATGACAAGGCGATTTCACAAACACTTTTGGATGTCAATTTTTGCTATTATACAATAGGAAAACACACTACAAAGAGAAGCCAACTTAAGCTGCGTCCGGAGCTGTTGATTAATTAAACACCTTGATTTTTTATTTTTTTTCGACCAAGAACACCATGATTGATATGATCTGAAAAACATCTTGATTAATTTCTTTGCAAGAATTAAATCTGTACTTTCTATAGTTGTGCTTTCTTCTGCCTTTTCTTATTTTTGGTTCTCTAATTTCAACTGTTTTTAAAAGTATGCAAATTTAATTAATCAAAAAACTAAAAGTAATTTCCTGCAATAAAAACCTAGAATCCCAAATATCTTATTAACCACTTGAGTTTGCCTTAGTAGCCACCCTTCTTACATAGAAAGGGGGAAGTGGGAAGTTCAATTCTCCACTTTCTCAGGAGGGGCTAGGGGTGGGGACGTTTAGTTTCAGATGCGAGTTTTGACTCTCACGCTCTGCAAGGAGACAGGGCAAAAGTCTAAGAATGAGTTGAAAGTTAAAGTAAAACATACAAAAAGAAAATATCGTGTTAAGCCATAGAAAGTGAAGATAATTTCCCCTCATTTTATCTTTAGTTAAGCAGTCCTTAATTAAATTACCGATTGATGGTGTGGTTCTTGCACTCAGAAAATTAATTGTCTTCATGTGAACATTCCTATAAATAGACGAAATTTTCAATTTATCTTCTCTTTTGAAATTGGATATATGGATAACCTAGAAACTCATATTATTATAGGATTAATACTACGAAACCTCAAACTTGCACATCCGTGTCACATTTATCTTAAACTATTTTTTGTATTGCAAAAACTCCCGAACTGGTACATCCGTGCCACATTCACCTCAAACCGGTGCACCTGTGTCACATTTATCTTAAACTAATTTTTATTTAATAAAACATTCAAAATTGATACACTCGTGCCACATTTACCACCAAAAAAATTCTAGATTTACCACAATTTAGGGTAAATGGGGCACATGTATATCAATTTTGGGTAAATGTGGCATGGGTGGACCAGTTCGGGATTTTGTGCCACAAAAATTAGTTTGGGGTAAATGCAGCACCGGTGTATCAATTTGGGAGTTTTTACAATAGAAAAATTAGTTTGGGGATAAATGCGACATATTACATGTGACACCACTTTTGGATGCATAATCGTCAATTGATTCTCTAAATTTGCTCGAGGGGGAAGTAAAGAGATAAAATTAGGTTCCAACATTCGTACTAGCTTGAGTATAATCTACTTTAATTGAGAAGGTCGGAATATAGGCTGAGAATTAAAGTTTGGTTTCTCAATCACTGCTCCAAATTGAATCCAGTGATCTTCACCCTCACCATTGTGATTTTCACACTTTGTCCAGCAGGCATCACCAGCCTAACATGATTCATGTGGAATATAGAAAACATCTATTTGGCTCGCTATCACAAGTAAATTCACAAAAAGGCCAAAGGAGGGTGATAAATGCTCACTCCAAATTGAAGCAATTCTAAAGCACCGAGTTGATTGCTTCGATTCCAGCAAACAAGCATATTATTTCCTTGAACACTAATCTCCATGTCAAATCTGTGAATGAAGTAGTCATCATGATAAAGCATTGCACGAGAGCACGTATATCTCATACCACGTCGTCGTCAGCTAATGTGGTTTATGACCATTGTGATCAAAACTTGTCATCCATGTTTGAACAATTGACATGCGGTGTACGACACCGACTGAATATTTTTCTCCATCAATGCATGATGTTCACAGGATGCATGTGGTGCATGACGGTCGCTGAACATTTTGATCTTCCACACGTTGCCCCGCAAAGGACATGCAGCTGGCGGCCCACCTCTAGCTTAACTTAATTAAGCCCTAAACGTTGCAAATCAAGGCTTGAAACATGTGGCATAAGAACCTTCAAAAGCCTCGAAGTCCAAGAATTCATAACCTCAAGCTAGTTCTTTTCCCTGTCAAGGAAAGTATAGAGCCATAACTTTTGTATGACGCTGGCTTTAATGCTAAAACCTTTCAAAAATCATTAAAGTGTGAAAAACAATCACTTAACTGACTCTAATGACTTAATTTGTTCAATAATCTGACGTGACTCCTCGAATTCATTTAAATTGACGCTTTTGAAAAAAATTTTGCTACTGAAGTGATCGTTTTGACAGTATATTGATCCTTTATCAAAATGGTGCTCTGAAATTTTTAAACTTCGAATTGACAAGACGGCATTGTGAGCCACAAGCAAAAATCACAAAGCACGTATTCTAATTTTCCTTTGTATCGTTAGACTCAAAAATGAATTCATTTAAAATCACAAAGATCTATTTGTTTTTCTTTGGGGGGGTGGGGGTGGGGGGTGGTGGTGTTAAGTAGGGGTGTCAGAACCGAACCGGAAAATCGAAACCGAAACTGAACCGAACCGAAATTTCATGTAATTTCGGTTCAGTTAGGTTTCCGGTGATCGGCCAACCGCCAGCGCCGGTGACCGGCCACAGGATAAGGTTGGCGAGGGCGTCGGGGCCCTCGCCGCTGCCCTCGCCAATGGCAATGGCGAGGTCGGCCTCGCCTTTGCTTGGCGAGGCTCGACCTTGCCCAGATCTGGCGACGGCGAGGTCGGCCTCGCCTTGGTTGAGCGGGGCCTCGCCGTCGCGGCCGTGAGCCGCCCTCGCCGGCCCTGGCCTATGGTCGGTCGCCGGCGACCAACGGTCGGCGGCCAGTGGCCGGTGGCCGATGGCCGGCGAGTGACAGGGCCGAAGAACAACAACAAACACAAAGAAAGAAAA